ACTATAGAACAGTCTATAGTCTGGACTATAGAACAGTCTATTGGCTGGACTATAGAATAGTCTATTGGATGGACTATAGAACAGTCTATTGGCTGGACTATAGAACAGTCTATTGGATGGACTATAGAACAGTCTATTGGCTGGACTATAGAACAGTCTATTGGCTGGACTATAGAATAGTCTATTGGCTGGACTATAGAACAGTCTATAGTCGGGACTATAGAATAGTCTATAGTCGGGACTATAGAATAGTCTGTAGTCGGAACTATAGAATAGTCTATAGTCGGGACTATAGAATAGTCTATAGTTTGGACTACAGAATAGAATAGACTATAATCTGGACAGTATAACAATCAGTAGTCTGAGCTATAGGATAGCCTATAGATTTAACTAAATACCATATTTACTTTTAATATTTCATAATTACCACCTAATCCTTTTCCTCCAAAAAAACAACTCCATTAAATAACTTTTAAATTACCCGGTTCCTTAAAGCAAATAACAAAAAATTGCAAAATTACTGATGTAAACTTTATCTCCATTAAACGTTTGAACTTTTAAATTTTACCGCAACTAACAAAACCAACTAACAGAACCCAAATGATACCAACCGACTGGCATTAACAATATTTTTTAATGCATTTATTACTTTTAAGTTTATTTTTTATTATTTTTTACAACAAACGCATAAAGTTTGCATTGTTATGGGAATTTGACGTTCTTTTCTCCTGTTGGTTCGTTCGTTCAGTTACTAATTCCGAGTCAGTACCTTTTTTTTTTTTTGTCTACATATATCTTGCAGGAGCAATCACAATTATAGCTGCTGGTTCTTTAGTTGTTATATGTAGGTGTGTGTGTATGGCTTTGTTTTACAAACTAAAATATTTAACAAAAGTTTTGCAGTTGTGTGCATGTTTGTGTGTGTGTGTTATTCAGTCTGTCTATATTTGCCTGAGTGCGTATATAAACTTCCGTTTGTAGTAATTGTGATTTTGCTTTTTTTTCTCTTTTTCTCTGTATTTTGGATTTAAACCATAAAGCTTTAGCAGAGAAAAGAAAAAAAAACATTGCCAACAATTTCATTTCGTAGCAAACAAAAAAAGTTAAAACAAACTTTTATTGCTACAATTATAGTTATCAAACGTAGCAAAACGCAGCCATATTGTAACAATTGGCAATCATCTATACAATATCTATCTATTGGCCAAATATCTGTAAAAGACAAAAGAGTTTACTTAGGAAAATAGAAAAAAAAAAACCAACTAATGTTAGACAAAATGATAACAGATAAAATGTAAGGCAAAATTACCTTAAAACTTTTTTATTTCCCATAATTTTTTCTTTTATTTTAAAGGAAACAAATAGATTTTGCAATGCAAAAAGTAAAAAAAATAAAATCCATAAATTACTCTCCTGCTGTTGCTTAATAGGGACAGTTTGAAATGACTTTTAAGCAATATTGCATAAATTTCGTTTTACTCCAGTTATTGAAAAAATGTAGAAAGCTTAATTTTTTTTCTGTAGCTCTATAACAATTTATTTTATATTTTTTATATGTATCTGATTTTTATAGTTAAAAAACGTTTCAAACTAAAAATATGCCAAAAAAGTAAAATCACGTAAACGCATTTAAATTTTACTTTATTTTGTTAGTAACATTGTTTAAAACAATTTTTTTTACACAAAAGTCCAAGTAATTTAATGCTTTATTGGAGACACGCAAAGTGAAAGCCAACTTCGATTTTTTCCAACAACAACTACAAAATTCTGATATTTTTGTTATTTAAATTTTTATTTTGTAAAATATGTAAACTCCTGTCATTGTAATATTTTTTCTACAATAATTTTCATTTGTTAGCTTGTGTTTGCCGTTTCTCTTAATTAAAAACTTTTGCCTACTTTTAGGCTTAGCAATCGTACCAACATCTCTACTTTGTGCTTACAAATGTATGTTTATGAAATATTTTTTCCTTATGGTTATTGCTTTTAATTAAGTCATCTTTTGTGGTTTATTTTGGGCAATGGTTGGCAGTTACAACTTAAAAAAAAAAAAACTTTAAACTTACAATATTGTAGAAGTCGAAACTTTTATTATTTTGTTTCAAGGTTAATCGGCTTTGGGGCAAAACTGGTTTTTTTGTATTAAAATCTTCTTAATGTGCTGGTCACACACACACACCCACATACACAAAGTGAAATTTGTTAATGAAGTTTTAAAGTTTTTTTCTTTTGACGTTAGAGAGAACTTTAATGAATGTGAAAACAAAACTGGGACAGCACAAAATAAATGAAAGACTAAGGGAATTTAAAAGAAGATTTAAATTTTAATAGAAATAGGAGGGATTAAGTGGAGTAAAAGAAAACGACAGAGGAGAAGGAGGAAGGTGTGAGATTAAAGAATAATATGATTTTAAATTATTTGGGATTTTGTTTAAATAACTTTGTGAACTTGAAGTGAAATAAACTAGAACTGCAGTAGAAATGAAGTAGAACTGATAAGGGACTGAACTAGAACTGAACTAGAACTGAACTAGAACTGAACTAGAACTGAAGTAGAACTGAACTAGAACTGAACTAGAACTGAACTAGAACTGAACTAGAACTGAACTAGAACTGAACTAGAACTGAACTAGAACTGAACTAGAACTGAACTAGAACTGAACTAGAACTGAACTAGAACTGAACTAGAACTGAACTAGAACTGAACTAGAACTGAACTAGAACTGAACTAGAACTGAACTAGAACTGAACTAGAACTGAACTAGAACTGAACTAGAACTGAACTAGAACTGAACTAGAACTGAACTAGAACTGAACTAGAACTGAACTAGAACTGAACTAGAACTGAACTAGAACTGAACTAGAACTGAACTAGAACTGAACTAGAACTGAACTAGAACTGAACTAGAACTGAACTAGAACTGAACTAGAACTGAACTAGAACTGAACTAGAACTGAACTAGAACTGAACTAGAACTGAACTAGAACTGAACTAGAACTGAACTAGAACTGAACTAGAACTGGAACTAGAACTGAACTAGAACTGAACTAGAACTGAACTAGAACTGAACTAGAACTAACTAGAACTGAACTAGAACTGAACTATAACTGAACTAGAACTGAACTAGAACTGAACTAGAACTGAACTAGAACTGAACTAGAACTGAAACTAGAACTGAACTAGAACTGAACTAGAACTGAACTAGAACTGAACTAGAATACTGAACTAGAACTGAACTAGAACTGAACTAGAACTGAACTAGAACTGAACTAGAACTGAACTAGAACTGAACTAGAACTGAACTAGAACTGAACTAGAACTGAACTAGAACTGAACTAGAACTGAACTAGAACTGAACTAGAACTGAACTAGAACTGAACTAGAACTGAACTAGAACTGAACTAGAACTGAACTAGAACTGAACTAGAACTGAACTAGAACTGAACTAGAACTGAACTAGAACTGAACTAGAACTGAACTAGAACTGAACTAGAACTGAACTAGAACTGAACTAGAACTGAACTAGAACTGAACTAGAACTGAACTAGAACTGAACTAGAACTGAACTAGAACTGAACTAGAACTGAACTAGAACTGAACTAGAACTGAACAAGAACTGAACTAGAACTGAACTAGAACTGAACTAGAACTGAACTAGAACTGAACTAGAACTGAACTAGAACTGAACTAGAACTGAACTAGAACTGAACTAGAACTGAACTAGAACTGAGTTAGAGCTGAACTGGAACTAATTTAATAATTTATATCTCTTGCCCAACAATCTTTTCTTTTAGCTTCTTACTTATTTTCCCTACATATTACTAATGCTTATTTTAACATCCATTGTTTGGTTCTTTATTTCTCAGTAACTATTAAATTTTATAACTTTATTTTGAAAACAATACCCTATCATTTAAATAAATTTATTGATTGACCAAATATAACTAGAATAAAATGCGCTTTACATAATGAAACTCCAGTCAGATGCAGACAGCACTCATATGGAGTTACAATTGCAATTGTATTCGTAGACAAGAGGACAGACGTACACACAGTAAAAGTATCACCAGCTGCAATTTTAATACGATAATCTTCTTTGGTCATATCATACCATACATACATGTATAAAATACTTAAAAAATAATAATAAAAATATACAACAAAAATTTATTAAATAAAGGAAAGTTTAAGTGGGGATCGTAACGAAATTTGTGTGACTTATTGCATATATACGGTTTTGGCTATCGGTTCCTGAACACAAGAAATTTCGTAACTAGTTTTGTTCGAATTGAGTTTTGGTTATTTTCTAGTTCAGTTCAGTTCTGTTTGTATTCTTTTTTATGGCTACAGTAGGGTGTAATGAACCTAAAGTATTTATATACCATTAGAAATCTTTATACAAAAAACTTATTCATTCTATAAAATTTTCTTCACTTTATACGAGGGCTGTACAATAAATCCAAAAGTCAAGTAGAATTATGGTCAATGGACAATATGCTTTTCAGACGTACTTCGCATGCCAACTTATTCTCACAGCAAATGTGTTCTTACACATACAAACTACGTGTATTGGTTCCATACACACACACATCTACTTTACACAATTGTTAATATGCAATTGCACACATAATCGTATTCTTTGCTTCACTTTTATTATTATTCCTTTTTGGTTCAGTATCCATATTTTTTTTCAGCTTTTAAATTCAGTTGCTATTTTTATGTTTAAATTGCAATAACCCATTCATTTATTGCCTCTATTTCTTCGGCATTGATATTCTGAAACATTTTTTATGATGCCAAATATACCATACAGACACTGACACGAACATATAAAAGCTTTTTACAAAAAGTGTATATTTAACTTAATGACAGGTAGTTAAATATAATAAAAAAAAAAAAAAAAAACAGCACAATGAGCAAAAATTTTACAATTTTTTGCTCTCATCTTTCGTTTGGTTTAAAGAAATTATGGTAAAAAGAGTAAAAAAGAAATACTTACTTGCTCCACCATATGTAAAATCGCCTAAATGTATGTTGTAGAAAATATCCAATTGTGTTTGAGTAAGCATTATAAAAATGAATAGTTTTTCAAAGTAGAAAAAGAGAACAAGAATATGGTTTTTTGAGTAGAGTTGAAAAAGAAATTAAAATTACTACTTTTAAAGGTTTAAACGGTAAAATAAAACAAATAAAACTGCAGCTTTAAAGCTGTTTTAGGGAACTGAAAATTGCAAAACTAAAACTGATTTTGAACAAAAAAATATATATGAAAAAAATCCTTTTTGAAGCATGTAAAGAGACAAGAAATGAAGAAAATATTAATGTTAGCTTTATTATATGGTTAAAAGCTTATAAAAAGCCTTAAATAAATGAGCTTTTACATTTAAAATACAAGTATTTTAAAAAAGCTCCTCTTAATCTTTACAACTTTTTCGAAAACACAAAAGCTTTGAAAATTTTTTGAAAGTTTTATATTTTGATAACTTTAAATGTTTGTGAAAAGCTTTGAAAAGCTTAATTTTAAAATATATTATTCTATATAAAGTTTTAAAAACTTAGTTTGTTTCAAATGTACTATTTTAAAATGCTTTTTTATCATGACAAGCTTAAGAGCTTTTAAGGAGCTTTAAAGCTTTATATCAAAAGCTTTTAAAAATAAAGTTTCTGCCGTTTAAGGCCTTTAACAGAAATCAACTTTTTTCAAAACTTTAATTATAAAACAAAGTTGTCTAAAAGCTTTTGACAAATACATTTTTGAGAAGCTTTAATTTCTTTTGAATTCTTGATATTTATATATTGTTATTAATGTTTTACATTTAGTTTTTTACTTACTTGTCTCACCAGTGGTACAAGTCGCTGGTATCGATGGTGGTCCTCTTCCTATATTATTTACAGCTATCACATAAAATTCGTATTCAGTATAAGGACTTAATGCTCGTACCACATAAAACATGGTTATAATACCGCTAATCTCGCTAAAAGCCTTAAAATTTAAAAATTAGTTTAATTAGTTTATTATCTAAAAGCTTAAGTTTAACATTAAACAACTTTAATGATAAAATCAACTTTTTCGTACTTTAAGATCATGCTGAAGTTTAAAAGCTCATAAGGCTTTTACAAAATTTTAAAAGCTTTAATAAAGTATATAAAAGCTTTGTGCTTTCAATTAACTTACACCAAATATAAAGTTTGTCACATTCCTATGAAGTTTAAAAGCTTATAACATTTGAAAGCTTTTACAAAATTGTAAAAAAAAATTGTAAAAGCTTTAGTAAAGTGCATAAGAGCCTTTAATTTACAAAAACATAAGAGACATTGAAAGCTTTAGCAACATATCAATACAATTTTTGCACACACAGAGGAGCTTTAGAGTTGGACCTTTAGATAAAAAATAATAAAAACATATTCAAAAAACATAAAAAGCTTTCAAATAACTTACAAAAACCAAATTTGTAAGCAAGTTATTAGTTCCATTTTATAAATTGTTACAAAGCTTTAGTAAACTTTAGAAACGTTTAAAAAAAAAAAAAAACTCCTTTAACTTTGAGACTTTAAAGAGCTTTCAATGAGCTTTTTAATGAGTATTTAAAGCTTTTTTCTGACATTTGAAGATTTGTAAGTTCAAATAAAAGCTTTAGTAAACTTTAGAAACGCTTTTTAAGAAAATAGCAACTCCTTTAACTTTGAGACTTTAGAGAGCTTTGATGAGTACTTAAAGCTTTTTTCTGAAATTTGAAGATTTGTAAGTTCAAACAAAAGCTTTAGTAAACTTTAGAAACGCTTTTTAAGAAAATAACAACTCCTTTAACTTTGAGACTTTAGAGAGTTTTCAATGAGCTTTTTGATGATTTGTAAGTTCAAATAAACTTCTAAACTTTTGACTTGCTGTAAGAAAAAGTTTCAATTAAAGATGTTTTAAAACAACATTTTCTTGAAAACTTTTAAGCTTTTTCTATATTATGATAAAAGCTTTTTTTTAATAAATATAGGTACTAATAAAGCTTTCCATGCTATAATAAATAAAGCTTTTATTTTATTACTTACCTGATTAGCATTTTTAGGTTTATATTGTATCACATAATACTGTAAGTCTTCGGGGCCTTTATAAGACCACTCCAAACGTACAGAGGTGGCTGTAACTTCAGAAATTTGTACATCTGTGGGTGCGGTAGGTAAAGCTATAAATTAAATAGAAAACGTAGTAAAAATAAATCATATTATAAGACATTTAAAAGGTAGCCATTACTTACATTGAACTTTAACCACGGCTGTGGCTTCAATTTGACCCAATGAAGAGGCTGCTATACAAGTATAATTGGCGCTTTGCTGTATATTAGTCAATTCAATAATGTTACGGCCAATTGGTATATTATTTTCAGGTGTTAAATCTTGAGCGCCTGTTGGCATAATAATATTGGGGTAAATATATTTATTTGTATAAAAATTATAGAAATGTGTTCAATTACCATTCATCCATTTAACATGTGGCATGGGTGAACCCACTGCTATACAAGAGAGATTAAGATTTGATCCTAACATCACTTCATTAATGGGCTCTGGGGGTCGTGAAAAGGTGGGTGGTACTCTACGCACCTTAACATATAAGTTAGTAGCCTTGGAATGTTCAGTACCCACAGAATTCTCAGCCACACATTCATATTTACCCTGATCCTCTTCTCGACTGTTTTCAATTTGTAGGCCACCTAGAAAATAATAATAATAAAAAAAGTTTATATTAAAATGTATATTCCTTCTCATACTCTTAAACAAATACATATAAATGGTATTATAACTTATATTTTTAATATTTTTGTTTATTTAATAATAAATACAAAAAAAAAAAAAACTTTTATAAACTCATCATAAGTTGATGATATTGTTGACATTATACATGTCACAGACTTTTATATGGTAAAAAGCTTGCTCCATACTCTACTAAAAGCTTTCATGGCAGGTACATACATATGTATATGAGGGAAAATTATATACTATCGCTCTGTCAAATTGTTTATAATCTTTATCATTGTTAATAAATGTTTATATTTATGTTTGTGTTAAATTGATATTAAAATATTGTTTATGACATGTTTATTTAAACCAGTTTATTTTTTTTATAAAAACTAAAGTTTATTTTAAGTAAAATTTTTTTTTTTTATAAAATTAAAACATAAAAATTTTGCTTTCTGCAATTTAACAAAAAAATCAATATTTTTATATTTTATCAACAATATTTTTTATTACAAACCTAGTCTGTTTTGTGGTAAATGTTACAGAGAAAAAAACATATTTATATAAATTGTTTCTTGTTTTTGAAACATAAAATGTGGTCAATATATATTGGCTACTGCCATAAACCAGACAAGTAATGGATAAGGGACTGGACTCTGTATATGAAAATTTATGACAAAAATATGTGACCAACAAAATATACGTACATACATATATACATAAAATAAAAAGAGAGTACAACAAAAATGAAAGTAAAGCAAATGTCTTTTTCTGTAGGTATGCGTAAGTTTTTGTTGTAAAATATTATTAATATTTTACATTAAAATATAACATATATTTTATTTTACCAGCATACTTTTAGGTTGATTTAAAACAGATATTTTTAATACAATTTGGGGCATACTTTTAGGTAAGAAATGGTAATAAATCAAAAAGTTTAATTGCTATTAATATAAGATCACATATTTATAAACACGTTGTTGACCTTTCAGGTTTTTGAAAAATTCTTAATGTTCATATTTTTAAAATTATTAAAAATATATTACAAAGATTAGAGCTAAAAAACACTTACTCAAAACATGTTATAAAATTGGTAATTTATTACTTTGGAGATATTTTAGTTTCTTTTTAGTTTAGATTTAGTTCAATTCTAGTTCTGTACTAGTTCTGTTCTAGTTCTGCTCTAGTTCTGTTCTAGTTCTGTTCTGTTCTAGTTCTGTTCTAGTTCTGTTCTAGTTCTGTTCTAGTTCTGTTCTAGTTCTGTTCTAGTTCTGTTCTAGTTCTGTTCTAGTTCTGTTCTAGTTCTGTTCTAGTTCTGTCTAGTTCTGTTCTAGTTCTGTTCTAGTTCTGTTCTAGTTCTGTTCTAGTTCTGTCTAGTTCTGTTCTAGTTCTGTTCTAGTTCTGTTCTAGTTCTGTTCTAGTTCTGTTCTAGTTCTGTTCTAGTTCTGTTCTAGTTTGTTCTAGTTCTGTTCTAGTTCTGTTCTAGTTCTGTTCTAGTTCTGTTCTAGTTCTGTTCTAGTTCTGTTCTAGTTCTGTTCTAGTTCTGTTCTAGTTCTGTTCTAGTTCTGTTCTAGTTCTGTTCTAGTTCTGTTCTAGTTCTGTTCTAGTTCTGTTCTAGTTCTGTTCTAGTTCTGTTCTAGTTCTGTTCTAGTTCTGTTCTAGTTCTGTTCTAGTTCTGTTCTAGTTCTGTTCTAGTTCTGTTCTAGTTCTGTTCTAGTTCTGTTCTGTTCTGTTCTAGTTCTGTTCTAGTTCTGTTCTAGTTCTGTTCTAGTTCTGTTCTAGTTCTGTTCTAGTTTCTGTTCTAGTTCTGTTCTAGTTCTGTTCTAGTTCTGTTCTAGTTCTGTTCTGTTCTGTTCCTGTTCTAGTTCTGTGTCTGTAGTCTAGTCTGTTCTAGTTCGTTAGTTTCTGTTCTAGTTCTGTAGTCTTAGTTCTGTTCTAGTTCTGTTCTGTTCTATGTTCTAGTTCTGTTCTAGGTCGGTTCTAGGTCGTTCTAGTCTGTTCTAGTTCTGTTCTAGTTCTGTTCTAGTTCCTGTTCTAGTTCTGTTTCTAGTTCTGTTCTAAGGTTCTGTTCTAGTTTCTGTTCTAGTTCTGTTCTAGTTCTAGTTCTAGTTCTGTTCTGTTCGTTAGTTCTGTTCTAGTTCGTTCTAGTTCTGTTCTAGTTCTGTTCTAGTTCTGTTCTAGTTCTGTTCTAGTTCTGTTCTAGTTCTGTTCTAGTTCTGTTCTAGTTCTGTTCTAGTTCTGTTCTAGTTCTGTTCTAGTTCTGTTCTAGTTTGTTCTAGTTCTGTTCTAGTTCTGTTCTAGTTCTGTTCTAGTTCTGTTCTAGTTCTGTTCTAGTTCTGTTCTGTTCTGTTCTGTTCTGTTCTGTTCTAGTTCTGTTCTAGTTCTGTTCTAGTTCTGTTCTAGTTCTGTTCTAGTTCTGTTCTAGTTCTGTTCTAGTTCTGTTCTAGTTCTGTTTTAGTTCTGTTCTAGTTCTGTTCTAGTTCTGTTTTAGTTCTGTTTTAGTTCTGTTCTAGTTCTGTTCTAGTTCTGTTCTAGTTTTGTTCTAGTTCTGTTCTAGTTCTGTTCTAGTTCTGTTCTAGTTCTGTTCTAGTTCTGTTCTAGTTCTGTTCTAGTTCTGTTCTAGTTCTGTTCTAGTTCTGTTCTAGTTCTGTTCTAGTTCTGTTCTAGTTCTGTTCTAGTTCTGTTCTAGTTTCTGTTCTAGTTCTGTTCTAGTTCTGTTCTAGTTCTGTTCTAGTTCTGTTCTAGTTCTGTTCTAGTTCTGTTCTAGTTCTGTTCTAGTTCTGTTCTAGTTCTGTTCTAGTTCTGTTGTAGTTCTGTTATAGATCTTTTCCAGTTTAGTTCCAGTTCATTCTCAATTCAATTCTAGTTTGATTCTATTTAAGTTTTAAATAATTTTGATTTAAGCAATCAAAAATATGCTGTAATTTTGCATGGATAAAAAATTCGTTATCTTTTTTTCCAACTGCCACTGCGATTTTTTGGTCTTGAATATTTAAAAAGCATCAACGAAAATTCAAACCAATAGATTTAAATATTTGAAATCACCATGATTTAGACCATAAAAAACAAACGTAATAAAAACAAATTTCTATGTGCAAGAACAACAACGCCTAAAAATAGGTTAAAACAACAGTAAAATGGTGAAAAACATAACAACATAGAAAACAAAATTGAAAAAACAATTGCAAATAAACAACAATCAAAAGCGAAGGTTTTTCTATAATGTTTTTTGTTGTTGTTGTATTTTATACAACTAAAAACTTAACACATCAATGGTCAGAACAATTTTTGTAGCATATTTATTGATAGATGCATGAAAATAAAATTAAACAGCAACAAAATGCTTGGACATGCAACACAAAGTAATCCTAACGATTTTACCAACACTACCTTATTTAATGTATTTTGATAGAAGCATTTAATATTTAAACAGTGGATAGCAAAACTAACTAACTGTTATGACATTTGAGAGTAGTATAGTGGTATATTAGTGAAATTATTAGTCTGAATTGAATTTATTTAAACCTTAAACAGATAAATGTTTCTTCAACTACTGTATTGATTTTCAATTGATGATGTTTATGGCAAAAAATTTTATATAAAAATGATTTTGTGTGATGTTTTATAGTATCATCCATTATGTTGCTAACACTTTTTCAGACATGTTAGAAACGTGTCACAATCAACCAATACATAAATAGATAAAGTAGAAGGACATCCACTATCAACTGAATAAAATGCCATTAAAATGATTTAAAAGTGTTAAATAAAATGGTTATAAATACAATGCCAATAGACAATAAAGTGTTACGTTTTGTGAAGCATACAACACAAAACATAACAAATATATAGCATAGTTTAGAGAATAACGTTTATAATACAATGCTGCATACTTTTAGGCTGTACATAAACATTTTTTTGTGTGTGTGTTTTTGTATGTTTGTTGCACTGGCAACAAAACAACAATGAAATGTTTATACATATAAAAATAAATATCTATGAATAATAAAAATATTGTTGATAGTTTTCTTGTTGTTTTCTTTTCTGCTGCAGCTACTAGTACTGTTGCTGTTTGTGTTAATGTTAGCGCTCGCGTTTTTATTTTCTGTTAGTTTTTGAAAATTTGATTCTGGTTTTGCAAATAGTTATTTAATACTCATTTTTAGTATTGTATTTTTATGTCATAATATGAATATGATGGGTTTTAATGTTTTTTTCTTCTTTTTTTATTATTTAAACCATTTTGTGAAAAATCACAAACAAATTTTAGCAAAATATTTATTGGCACTTAAAAAATCTAGTTTTGAATGTTGATACATTTCGTGATAGTTGTTGCAAAAGAAAAAAAAAAAACTAATTGAAAAAATGAAATAAAATAAAATTTTATTTTTATTTGATTAATTTTTAAACTATTGTTTCGACATACAATGAAATTGCTACTTCATGCATATTAAATTGCTAATCAACAGAACATTTATATGTTAAATTGTTATTTGTATACTAGAAGTAGGCAATAGAAAGTTTGATTTTCATTTTTCAGCATTTTTCGCAGATATCCTGTTAAATTTTTTAAATAGTCTTTTCATTAAATATTGTTGCTGGATTTAGGGCTCCTTTTAACTACTATCGGGTCTGTTGTGCGTTTCTTTACCAGAATCTCTGGTGGAAATCAAACCCGACCTCTAGACAGACAAGCAAGAACACTAACAGCTAATCTAATGGGGGCACACTTCTACTTAACTAAAGTTCTGTTTTTTGTTGGTTTTAGGTCTTGTATCTGAAGTTTAATTTCAAAAGAAGCATATAGCGCCCTTTAAAAGACTGTTGCCTACTTTCAGTCGTTGGTCTATTTTAGAATTTTTGTGTCTCTTGACTAGAAAATAGCTTCATTTTTGATTGATTTTGAATAATTAAATCTTACAAAGATCTCAAAAATGTATTTATTGATTTATTGTTGCCTAATTTAAGGCTTTAT